GGTGGGATTTTTCCTATTGGCACTTCTGTGTAACAAGAATGGTACTGATGTTTAGTGAGCCCTTTTTTGGTTAGTATGATTTGAAATGTGACAAACTACTTTAGAGCAATGAAGTCAAACAACACAGGAGGCAAGAGAGGCAGAGGAGTGCAGATCTCTGCCACGCACTCTGCCAGCTTTACCCTCACAACTTTCTTCATGGGGAAGCAACCAAGTAGTGAGAATCAGACATTTACTTTCCAGGACACTTCTGCACTCTTTGTTCTAAAAATTGTTATTTTGATGGAAATTCTACCAGCCAACATCCACTCATCTGGAAAGCACAGAAATGTCTCAGTTTGTTCTGGGTAAGCACTTGAACAAGGCTGTCCCTGGACTCTCCTCTCTTTTTAAACTTCCATCTCCTAAAAGCATTATGTAGCCCTTGATCTCACTACTAAAGAATTCCTGTGTTGAAAGGTTAAGCAGATATTTGTTTGGATTTGTGTTCTTTGGAGAAATAGTGAGTCTACCTCCTCCCTCCATAAAGGACACTGGAAAGGCTAATTGCTCAGGCAGGGATCCAATGTCACAACCACTCGCAGCAGTATCAGCCCTGGATTAGGGCTGGACACTGGCCTTGCTCACCTTTGCTATGTCTGCTGACTAAATTAGAGACCAACATTCTCCTGAGTCAGGGAGAAGCTTCAGGCCTTTGGAAGACTACAAAGGACTTAGCTTTGCTAGAGGTTTCCTGAGGACAGCACTCAAATGTCACGAGTGTTGCTTTAAGACAGAGGCAGTGAGACACAGGGATGCATCTGCAGATGAAAAGGGCAAAAGGGACATCAGGTCTGATGCTGGACTTGTCCAGCTCAGCTGTGAGGGACCAGTCTTGTATGGGGTGAAGTGCCCAGGACTGTGGGGCTGGGAGTGCTCCAAAAACCCAACACATGGGTTTTAACAAGCACTCACCAGCCATGCCAACCTGAAAGGTAAATCAGATCATCAGCATTTGCTTTTTGTATGGTGTGCCTTTTGTGCTGTTTACCTGAAACATAGAACTTGATGCTCCTCTCTTCTTCGCCAACCTTGTTTGAAGCCACACAGTAATAGATTCCCGAGGTACTGCTGTTTTCCATGGTGAGTGTGCTCACAATCTGCCAAGCAAAGAGAAAACAAGCAAAGGCTCTGAGCATGCTGTAGGCTTGGCAGACAGGCTTGAGAGTGTGTGTTATGGTAGAAAAACTGTTAACAAAGTTGTTTCTAGTAATGAGTGAGGGCCATGAACAGACAAGTGCTTCTACTAGGTTTTTGGTCTCTCATCATCTCAGATCACCTCAGGCCAGTTAATTCTCTTTCCTGTTCATTCCTAACCTTCATTTTTCTTTCTGTCTCACCCATGAAAAAGAGGCTTCTCCTTTGAGACACTGCCAAGGTCTTTGTGTGCCAGTGTCAGCAAAAAGCTGAAGTGAAGGACCTGCAAATGCAGTCTTGCATCCATGTATTCTCTTTTCTGCTCTTCAGTTATGGGTTATGTTGGTATCCATATTTGCATGGGAGGCAGGTAATTCATATGGATGTGGTATTAAGAATATTTCAGGATTTTGCTTTGTTTTGCTGTAACCCTAGAGAAGGGGAGAAGGATGTGGCCCCTTTGGGCCTCAGCTCACTCTTACAGGTTGTGCCTGGGAGTCCCCTTGATTCCATGACCCTTCCTCAGGGCCATACCAGAACTCATGTGGTAAGGAAGGAAGCTCTGGAGGGACTGATGGTATTACAACACTTGGCAAATGCAGAAAGGGAGGTTCATGAAGGAGAAGGAAGGAAGACTTCTCCTGAGCTTCATCACATAGAAAGAGGACGTGGTTGAGTTATTCATGGGCCTGAACTCGAACACATCCTTAAGAATTTGTGCTCCTTAAATATCCCAAGCCTCTACTTCTGTATGGAGTCCCCTTAATGTGGAGCCAGCCATGTGGCGCTGCCCTGTCCCTGTCATGGTATGGCATCACAGGCTCACACACAGGACTATCCATACACAGGTCATGGCTTTAATTATTTCTTGTATCCCTTCAAGCTGGTAGCAAGAAAGCAGAGTCTGACCCATCAAGGCAGAGATGTTCTTGCAACATTATTTTGCTTCCCCTGCAGCCATTCACCTGAGGAACTCTGAGCCCTCACATTTGGAACAAATATCACTTTCTGTGCCATCCTCTCTAAGGCCTTTGAGAATCAAAACTTATAACACCCCCTGGCCCTTTGTCCTTATCTCCAGAGAGCGCTTTGAAGTGTACTAAAGCATCTTTGGACTTTCTTTTTAATATCCTAAACTAAACTCACACAAGACATTCCTTTACCCCTTATAAAGCTGCTCCATGAGTGTGTCTATAGCTGTGCAGGATGTATTTGCAGACAGATTTGCTGAGCTCTGACACTTTAAATCCTGTAGGGATCAAAGGTTTTGATCCCATGTGCATTTTACATTCTAACGGGGAACATTTTCATCAGAATAATGGGTAAGTGGAAAAGTCTCTACTTTTCATGGGCACCAAACACAGAAACCAACCAAGAATAGGGACAAATCAACCTTAGGGGTGAAAACAGGAGCCCAGTAAAGCCATCTCCCTCTGGTGTCCTCCAAAGGGAGAGCTGTGGAGTTCTGAGTGATTTAGGATGTGAAAATAGCTCCAAGTTGGATATAAAATCACCCAGGGAAGCAGACTGCACCTCCTCTTGTTGCTGTTCCTGTAGCAGTGGGCCTGATGCCACAGGCTGTTAACAAGCACATGTTCTACCCCTGACTCTGAGCAGCAGACATTGCCTTTGGAATTATTGCTGAATCAGGACCAAGGTCTTTCTTCTCATGATTCTGGATCTGAGAATTTTATGTTTGGGAATAGAAAAAGCCAATATAAATGTATGTGCTGAGGACAGAAGGGGATAAATTTGGACAGCTCTTTAACAGCAATTAGTCTTGCCAAGTGACAGCTCTAGATGCGAAGTGGAGGATAATACTGTAGAGCCAGTCAAAATCATAAAATATCCATTTTGGAACATGTCCAAAATGTTAGAGGTGACACTGTGACTCTTTTAAGCAGCGATGCAATGCCTCAAGCTGTGTTTGGTGGCCCAGAGGTAAATGCTTATGCACACAGACACATACACACACACACACACACACACACACACACACACAGATGCTGACATCTCCAGCTACATAACTCAGGAAAAGTCTGGCAGAGTAGTGGGGAAAAAAAAAGACCAAATAGCTATACCAAGACCTCATCATAGCTAATCTCAGTTGTGTCTAGATATGAAGGTGAAAAAGATGTTGAAATGATGTGAGACACAATCTGGGGACAAATTCTTGTGGAAAAAAAATTACTGAAGAAAAGCAAGAAAGTAATTTTCTTGTCTGTATGCTTAAATCAGTGTTATGCACTTGGACTCCAGTTCATTACACACCTGAGCACCAGAGATAAGGCACTTAACTGAATTGTCTTAGAACTAGCACCTCCCAGGGTCCTCCAAAATGTGCCTTTTAAACCAGCAGCATCCAGCAGAGATCTGTATGTGATCTCAGAGCTGGAAATTAAGGATTTTGAGTGATTTTTTTTCTAGTAATAAGATGAATCCCTTAAAATTATGTATCAGCTTTTTACTCTAGCTGTGTGCTCCTGGGTAAATTCCTGAGACTGGGAGTCCGATTATCTTTCTAGCAACTGAAATAAAGTGATCAGTTGCCAAACTAACTTAATCCTGGTTTTGTCCTCACCAGAGCAGTGCTTTGGAACACTAGCATGCTATGCCAAAGGGCATCCAAAGTCGCCTTCCCTCTGTAAGACCACATAGTTTTGGTTTGTGCCAGAAGCAACCTGAAAGAAACACTTAAGAAAGCAGCAGTAGGCTCTGCTTTTTGAAGTATCTGTAGATCAAAGAGAACCCATTGAAGTCAATCAAGGAGATCTCAAAGTAACCTCTGTTAACCCAGATGCTAGACCCCACAGCATTCACCATGCTGATGTTTTGGCAGTTGAAATTTGTGTGTATCTGGTCATAGTGGCAGGTTGGGATAAGGATTTTGTCCTTCTAAATGCCATTCTTAATGAAAAAAGTTATTTGAACTCAAGCAACCAAACGCAGTGATCTTTTCCCATTATTAACAGCAAGAACCATTAGCAGATTTCTCTCTGCAGTGGCACAGTCCCAGCATTTGGGGACCTTTAGTACAAAGTGGAAAAATTCTGAGGGGATAATCCTCTATGTGTGCTTAGTTCATGCACCTGGTGAAGTATTTTCCATTCCTGGAATCAGAGCCATAATATATGTTGGAGTGAGTCCAGAGGAGGTCATGGGAATGCTACAAGGGCTGAAGCACCTTTGCTCTGGAGACAGGATGGGAGAGTTGGGAGTGTCCAGCCTGGAGGAGAGAAGGCTCCAGAGAAACCTTGGAGCTCCTTCCAGTGCCTACAGGGTCTCCAAGAGAGCTGGAGAGGGACTTTGGACAAGGGCCTGAAATGACAGGACAAGGGGGAATAGCTTCTCACTGCCAGAGGGCAGGGATAGATGGGATATTGGGAAGGAATTCTTCCCTGTGAGGGTGCTGAGGCACTGGCACAGGTTGCCCAGAGAAGCTGTGGCTGCCTCATTGCTGGAAGTGTTCCAGGCCAGGTTGGACAGGGCTTGGAGCAACCTGGGCTAGTGGAAGGTGTCCCTGCCCATGGCAAGGGTGGAAAGAGATGGACTTTAAGGTACCTCCCAACCCAAACCATTTTGGGATTCTGTGATTCAAAGCAGGGCTCACACCAAAGCTGTTTGTCTTGCCTTCTACACAGAAAACTCATTCCCAGACAGAGCACAGCACTCTCTGCTAAGCCTGAATAATGATGCTGTTGTGAAATCTGCAAAATTGCCTTGAAACCTTTCTCTCTTCAGTGAAAATACTATGATGAACTATTTACAGCCTGGAGATTTGCATTTTTAAGTTTACCTTCCCCTCCCTGTCCTAATGAAGAGCAGTTCAGACTCACTGACACATTAACCCCTGCCAATGTACTCCAGTCACAAGTGGTAGCACAAACCACGTGGCTGTTCCATCCTCAGCTCCTGTGCAGACAGTGCTGGGACCAATGGTAATTAATAACAAATTATTGGCATGCAGTGTCTAGACATCTTCCTAGTGGGATCTGGATGAGATCCTGTGAGTTCCCTGCATACCAAACACCACACATCCCTTGGACCAGTTTTGATTGCCTGTGTTGGATTTGGAAGTAAAGGGCTCCATTTCCTATTACTTAACCTAAGGGCCACCCAATACTGTGAGCCCGAAGAAGGGATTATTAGCTAATAAATAATTGCTAGGAAAGAATAAACTAAGTTTAAAGTTCAATAAGAAAAGAAATAAAATGACTGATCTCTGAAGAACAGCTACAACAAGGAAATAGACATTGCTGCTGGGAAAACTCCTAATGGAATTGTTCAATAAAGTCCATATGTCCTGCACTGTAATGTTCCCAAACTGATAAAAATAAGCTATTTTAGAAACAGTCAAGTAACATTCCACAGCCATATACCCTGAGTGTTTTAAGACATCTTGTAGTAAGGACAGGGCAGCAAGACCTTTTTTTAAGCTGGAGCCAGCATGAATTAATTTATCTTGTTATTCCTTGCTTTCTCTTTCCTTTGTCTAATCCCTCCCTTCAACGGCTTTAGTTAACAATTCTTTCTCTTTCACTTCGTTAGCTCTACGTGGGTGATGATGAGGAGTAGAAAATGTGGGTGGAAAACTTCTCAGCTGTCTAACTCTGGCAGAGCTGGGCTGGAGGTGGCTACAGGGAGTAATGAAATTATAGGAACTTCAGCAGAGACCATGCAAAGAAAATATTCAGCTAACTCCTAATCCATCTACTTGAATGGCACAGAATAGCACTTGTTGTTATAGCCTGACAATTCCAATCCATGATCTTAGTTCATTCATTCAAAACATGCTAAAGGATGGACTGAGGATGACTGATAAAAGAACTCTGTGAGTCAACTGAGAACTTTCATGTTTGCTCCCATCCCTGACAGTGAGTGTTTCTGTCCCTGGGAAAGGAGAGCAATCCTTGCCCTCCTTACAGAGGGTGGCAGAGTTGGTGGTGGTAGTACCATGTGGTCAGGAAAAGTGCTGGACTGGACTGGTATCGGGGGAAAACTGGAGGTTTGAGGTGCCCCTGGAGGAACTGGTATTCATCTCTAGCATGGATGGACTGATCACTCTCTGGCTCTGGAGCAGATGGGTAGGTGCAGAGTAGTCCTGAGCAATTACCATCCCCACACTTCTTCCTCACACCCACTGACTGCAGCTAACCAGTTGAAGATGGGCAGGGAAGAAAAAGGGCCATTCCTGATGTCCCTGATGCTAGCCAGGCTCTTGCAAGACCTGCCAAGGACAGTGTAGTAGTTCGTGTGCTCCTGTGCTTGGCTAGTGTCTGAAACATCTGGGCTAGTCTCCCAGAGAGTGGATGCTGTGTTCCAAAGCCCATCAGTGTGACTGTTCACCTTCCCTGCCAGAGATGGGGTGACAAGGCTTGTGGGAGCTCACTCAAGTGGCACCCACACAGGGTGACAGATTTAAACAGCCCTACTGAGTTGCTCACACACTTTTCACCAAACACATCCCACTGCACTAATGTAATCTTTCTGTTCGTTCAGCAGATTTAAACGTGGCATTTTTGGGTCAGTTTTCTTGAGTGGTTGTGAATTTCACCAGCAGAAACACCCAATGGACAGGCCACTCTCTAATACAGACATGAAAGGGAGAAAAGAATGAAAAGAACCCCCCAATGAGGATTGAATTATGTATGATTCTTGCCATTCTTTTCTGCCATGTCCTGTTCTCCCAAGCTCAGGCCAGTGTGTTATTTTGTTAAGAGGAAAGAAAATAAAATAGCAACCTAGCTCCTTGTGACTTGAAGAGGAAATTCAGGCAATTCCTGCAATCACAGGCGTTTCACCTGGTGTGAAAATGCAGGATTCAGAGGAAGCTGCACTGGAGTTGAAATCACAAAGTGAAAAGTTCAATATTGACTGAAAACCACTGGGAAAATGAAACTTGCACAATGCAATTGCCTCAATCACTATTTGACCAGAACTTCAGTGAAGTACATCATAACCTTAACCATAACCACATGCTTTTCCTTAGGAATGAGACTCAGCCTTTAGAAGGCAGGAGGGGGTGAAATTTACTTCTCTGTCTGTGGAATAATAAGGAAATAATCATTATGATGACAATGACAAGAGAGCTCAATTTTATATGCCACTTCTGTCAAATAAATGTCTAAAGATCTCAGTGTGATCAAAGAGTTCATCAAGCACCAGTGGTTTGCTGGAAAAATCCATGCTTGCTGCCCTGCCAGCTTGCTCTCAAGCAAGTTTCTGGATCTGGAAGGGTTGTTCCCATATTTTTAGCAGCTCTAAACAGTTAATGCATGTTTTCATATGTCACTGAACCAACATGTACTGCTGCAGCTCTTGGAGGGTGAACTCTAGGGATGTGGAGAAATCCTAGAGAGTAGATGAATTCCACCTTCTGCTCTGAGACTCTAGTGCTTGTGGGACAGGCTCAAACCACGCAGGAAAAATCACCAACCTCAGCTAATCCCAGCTTCAAAACACAGCCCGTGAAAGTCCTGCTCAGTCACACTCCAACATCTTTATTACTTCATCTGCCTAGTCAGTGCAGATGAATTAGTTGCTAGGACACGGTGGGAATGGATTGGGCTGTTTCCTGTCTATTCCATTTCTGGTGGGAATAACAACTGATAAAACACAAAGAAAATTCTGAAGACATTTTCATCAGTGTCTCTTTTCTTAATTACATTCTGTTATCTAAAGACTCCACTTAACAGAGATAGCCTGGGACTTCAGAAAGAGGGAAGGAGAGGAATTGTCTGCTAATGTAAGCAGGGAGACCAAGTGCTGAAACCTGAGATTCATACAATCTAGTTTTATTAATTTGAATAAGTTTTAATCAGGACATAAAACTTATTAGGAAACACCTCAGACTGTGTTTTCAAACAGTGGATCAGTGGGCGAAAATAATGAATATACTATAAATTGTAAAATTATGTAGCTTCAATTTAATGATGATATATGTAAAGGCTCAAGTTAAAAGTTGTAAACTGAGTTCCAACCCTCTTAGAACATGTCTTAAACATGAACTCTTCAGGATGCAGACTGATCATAAGACATAAGCCAAGCTCTTGGACACCAGATCATATATTTAGGCAGACTGTATATATATGTGCTTATATATGGAGAGAAACAGTAGCCATGAGAACCACAAAGCTCTTGTCAGGACATGAAGCAATGAGAAAGTCTTAGAAAAGGACAAAACTTTGTAGATAGGTGTTGCTGACATCCATTTTTGTACTTTCTAGGGAGTTGTGTTACCCAAGATCTAAAATTCTTAAAGAATACATGAAAACCAGAGCTTAAGGGGCACTATGCCATCTAAGTAAATCCAATTTATAAATATCTTCCAGAAATGGAAAAACCCAGAAATGAAAGAGGAACACTGATTTTCTCCTTCCCAGCCCAATCTCTATGTGTTCAGAGCTCTATTTTAGATTATGTTTAGAACTGGAAAGTCTCCATGAGAAAGAGCAGATGGCTAAGGCACTGATCCTGCCAGATGCTGATTTAGTGTGGACCCAGTCCAGAAGAGCACTTTAGTTTTGTGCTTAACTTTAAGCATGGGAGTAACCCAAGAACTATCCTTTGCTTTACGGTAAACCAGGATATCAACTGCAGCATCCAGCACCTTGCAGGATTAGACTGTCTGGACCATCTACCTCAACACTTGTACCTGCAATCCTACTCCTGAAGGCACAAACCTCTGTAATTCCAACAGGGTAAACCAACTGTCCAACCCAGACCATAGCATAGCTCAGAGGCTGTGAATCCACAGTGGAACAGCTGCAGCACTTGATCTCAAGGGTCAGCATGGATGTGTGTAAACTTCACTCAGTACCACCACAGGTACTTGGGAGGGATTGATTCATGGCTGGGGTCTCTGCAGTTCATGCAGTAAGTGTGCTCAAGCGCTGTTGGAATGGGAAACACGCAAGGAAGTGAAGGAGGAAGAGGTCTTCCCACTTATGTTGTCTCAGTAATATGATTGGCAGCCCAGATGGGTAAAGAAATGTTGAGAACTCCAGCCAAAACCAGCAAGTACTGCAGGCGCCTGAACACTCTGAAAATCAGGCCAGTTACCTCTGCCTACTGCAGGCCTCTTACATCACACAGGTGTTTAACTCCTGCTGCTGAGAGCAGGCAAGGCTGGGCAGGACAAAGTGCTCATCAAGTGCTACATGTTGTAATGAACTCAGAGTCCTTATCAGTATGTGCTTCACAGGAGCCCTTGCCACAGAACCACTCTTAGACTTTCTCAAGACTGAGGGAGACACAGAGGTTTTTGACCCAACAAGTCTTTGGAGATTTTTAAACCGAGTATGTGACATCATTCCCAGAATCCCAGCATTTATAAACAGCAGAGATGTGAAATGATCCCAGAGCTGGGGAATTTAAAGCATGCCAACAATCCCCAGTGGCTTGAGAACTGCGGGAGAGCTCCGTGTGAGCACAGTGTCCCCTCTGAGCAGCCACTGCCACTCCATGACATCATTGCTCAGACTCCCATCACACACATACCTTTGTTTTATCCCCATGCTTCATGGGTATGTTTTCAATGCTTCTGATCTTGTTGCCTGTGACCATGTTCTCCCGAACCACAATTCTTTGCCCCTCAGGTTTGCATCTGGAGGTAGAAAAGCAGAGATTGTTTTAAAGAACCTGACACATTGCAGATAACCAGGGAGGTAACCTGAAGAGAGTGTCAGTCTTAGACAATACCCTTAGGTCTCGAAAACTCCTAAAAGCTGTTGCTGCTGGAGACTGTTACCTCTTTGTGAAACTACTGCATTCTTTCATCACAACGTTTCAAAATTGTTTACAAAGCACCTTGACAAAGGCAGACAAAGATCAGTACACAACCAGCAAGGGACCCCCCAAACACTCCAAAGAACAAAAATGGAAAATACTGCACAACTAATTAAATCATGTGAGTTTAATTTGCCTAATATTAGTTACACTCCAGCTCAATGCAGTTGTGGCTTTTTAAGTGCTCTTTTAGCATCTGCAGTGCATTTCCAAATTCGAAATGCCAGTCACTCAGACCTGAGGGCAGGTGAATGCTGCTGAGTGTGTCTGCCTGCTTAGCTCTCCAACAGGCAGTGTGGGCTGAGAAACTAGAATGGATAAATACTGGGATAACAATAGCAGAAGACTTCTTTAATATGGCACATTTTCTGGAAGACATCCATTTCTCTGTCAGTTATCAGTCTTCATTTTGGAATTTTGGGCAAAGAGCAGTGTATATAATGTGTCATGTGGAAAGGTACATCTGCACCATATAAGGCAAAAGGCTTTTCTGTCTTCCTTCACTTGGAATAACTGAGCCTTCTCATGCTTAGAAATACAAAGGCTCTGAGCCCAGTGTAGGGTTATAGGAGCTAAAATGAATATGGACTTCTCTAGGTGCTGAACAAGGGCTGATGCTGCAGAAAATGATCCATAAATCAGCCGTGCCTTTGCCAAAACCACACTAGACAGATGGGCAACACCCTGAGTCAAGGGAGGATTTCTAGCTCTCTAAAGAGCCTAATTAAAAGATGTCTTGAGTGACTTCCTGCAAGGCACAATCCTGTCCTGAGGATGAAGGGAAAAAACTCAAAGGAAGTAAATCACATCACAGCTCTAAGGAACAATGATAGTGTCTTGGGATTCAAAATGCATTGGTGAGGCAGGGGAGAGAAAGAGAGAGAGAGGAAGTGAGACAACAGAAGGAAATGGGGTCTGTGTCATTTCCCACAGGAATCCTGCTCCAGCTTCTGCTGGAGAAAGATAAGGCTGCCCCAGGGGCCAGGAGAGGTAGACGCCACTCTGCAATTGTATTTAAATCGATAAGATCAGAGAATCAGATTGCTGGAACAAGGGTTACATGAGGTCCTTTGCCATCAGGACACTGGTTTGGATCTGGTTTAATTCGGCATTCATGACCAATTCTCTCTCCCTAGACAAAAAGGTCTGGAAAAAACTTCTGTGTGGCTTTCTGAATGCACAAACTGCTTCATAGTATGTTAAGGGGTTGGGACGAACCTTAGGGATCATCTAGTCCCAACCCCCTGCCCTAGGCAGGGACACCTCCCACCACACCAGGTTGCCCAAGGCTTTATCCAACCTGGCTGTGAACACTGCCAGGGCTGGGGCAGCCACAGCCTCCCTGGGCAGCCTGTGCCAGTGTCTCACCACCCTCACAGGAAAAAACTTCTTCCTAATACCTAATCTAAATTTCCCTCTTTCAATTTATCCCTATTACTCTTTGTCCTATCACTCCAGTTCCTAACCAAGATACCCTCTCCAGCTTCCCTGTAGGCCTTTCAGATCCTGGAAGGTTGCTCTGAGGTCTCCACACAACCTTCTCTTCTCCAAAGCAGCAGCCCCTGTGCCTTCTGCTGCCCTGCACTGCCAACAGCTCAGCCTAAGCAGACACATCTCTGCTACTAATTCCTGCAGGAGCAGTGTCACTACCTGAATGAGGTATCGGGATCCTTCCATTGAGGAGGCACAGAAGGTCACTTTTTAGACCCAAACTGAGACTAGAACACCCAACATCATTGTGACTGCTGCAGCACAGAACCTAGGAAAGGAACTTCTCAGTGATTTTTCCCTGTCTCATGCCTTGCCATTCACAGCACTTGGAATAAGGAACTATCCAGCAATTTTCTCTCTTGCTTCCTAGAACCAGCCTTAATGTTTTTATGAATGGAAGACCTGCCTTCATCCCTCTCATTGCAGGGAAGAGTTGAAATGCTGTCAGCATTGTTATACCTGGCTCATGTACATCCCCTGGGAATACCAGGGGAAGCCATTAGGTCTCAGTCAAGGCCTCTGTCTCTGGAACAATTTGTTCAGATAACTGCAGGAGCAAAGACAACCTCTCCCTGTATCAGAGAAATCTCCAAAGGCATCTTGTGTTTTACTTTGCCTTATTCCCCTCTGACAGCTGTGACCCAGGGACTTGCTGCTATGTGCTCACACAGCCTCCATCAGGTAGGGGCCCTCAGCAGGCCAAGACCTGGCTCCCTCTGCCATCTTCTGCAACACAGGTGCTGCCAGAGGAGCCCATGCTCTACTGAAGACAGCCCTTAGGAACTGCCATAAATCCCATATGGGAACTAAAGGAAGCCAAACCTTTAGCAGGTTTGTCTGACAATAGCTCTTGCAGGGGAAAAAAGTGTGTTACTTCTACCCAGAAAGCACCTGACTGGTTTTCCTTTGGCAGATACATATGGTGTATCCAACAGGTGTAGAAAAGATCTTAGGAAGTCAGAGGGGCACTGTTGGTCAAGGTAAAGAAAATTCAGTGGTCTTTAGTCACTTTAAACTTTTTTTGCAATGATATGGACAATGATATGGACAAAGTGCTTGTAACTCTGAGAAAAACATAAACAACCAGATGTCAGCTGGGCTCATAACCCTGCAGATCTTCAGGTGGGGAATCACTGTTTGTCATTTCAACGCAGGTAAATAGGATACAGTGGAAAGAAAAAACGACTTGAAAGTACCCAACTATTTTGGAACATGTGCATTGGTCAGAATGTCACTTACACTGTGCCTGTGAGGCTGCAGGGCTGCCACTGCCACTCGAACTTTGGGTCAGGATTCCCACTTGTGGTGCACTGAATTTTGTGTTTGCTTCTCAATTCCGCCCGCACAATGTTATCAAAATCAGTTTCCTTTTCGTAGATTTTGGGTCTCTCTAAAGAAAAAAAAAAACGCAAATGAGCACATTTACATCCATGGTCATGATCATGGTCCTGCTTCCATAAAAGGTTTTGAAATTTTTTGCTGTGAGAAGTGATGATTTAGTGAGACTCCTGATGTGAGGGAACTCCCAGTGGTACTGAAATCATTCCTTCACAGAAACATGGGTGTTGGTTGCGGTATTTCAGAAAGTACATTGCAATGCTACCACTTTCATCCTAATCACTTTCAAATGTTGTCACGGACCTGCTGTACTTCTGGAAAATTTATGTCATGAAACATCTCTTGGTCAGGGACTGCAGGATCAGGCTGTTAGTCCATGTAGTGTGGGCAAAATAGCATTTGACTGCTGATGTCACCTCCTGAGAGGAACCTTATCAAATAGCTGTTTCTCTGCAATGCTGTTGCCATTGTGCAGGTCCTTAGGGTTTTGGCAAAAAAAAGTCTTTTTCTTTGATCTGAAATCTTTGCTTTCCTTTTCTGTTTATGTGTAATGTGCACTGGGCGAAGGGGAGAAGAAAGCAAGGAAGAAGTGGTGTGGAGAAAACACTTGTAGAATAATGCCAAGAAATTCTCACCAACAGCGAACCCATTAAAAGTGTCACAGCATTATTCACATCTGGAAGGGTTGAAAGATCACACCCTTGGACTGGAAATCTCTCAAGAACAAACTTCAGTATGACACTTTCAGGGCTGCTTGTTGCCAGCAGGAAAGAAATGCTTTGTCCCATCTCCTTCCAGCTCCCACGGGAACACACGAAAAAGAGAAATAATGCTAAAATATCCCCAAAGTGAACTGAACTTTTCCTAACCTCGGAGAGGGTGGGTTTGAGTTTGGGGTGAAAACACAGGCTCTTGCCTTATGCAGACAGCTCTGCCCATCCTTTGCCATATCTCTTCGTCTGCTTCTCATAACAGGAAATCAAACAGATTTATTGGTCGGGGTCCCTCTGTGGAACACCTCTGTGCAGCCAAGTGAGGCTTGCTTTGCACCAAGGCCTTTTGACAACTTGGGAAGTGAATGTAGATTAGATTTCTATTTTTTGGGTTAACTTATTTTTTCTGCTGTCAAGGAGGCCCCAGATATGTAAATATGAGCTACTGCCCACCTCATCAATCTTCAGCCCTTTCCCTCCTTTTTTTAATAGCTTTTTTCCCCTTCCAGCCGTCTTTTCTCTCTCGAGGACTGACCAGGCTGATTCCATGTCTTGGCGGGATCCTCACTTTCTATTTCTCATGGTCAGACTCTGAAAGATCTTCTGACCTCATGATTGCCTGAAAACACATCAGCATTTCCTTCTCCACCACATGGAAGGAGTATTGACTGGAGTTGGTTCAGCCACATCCCATGCTCTAGTAAAACTACGTCTGCTTTAAAGAACCTTCATTAGGTCCTGATTAACATTTCGCCTGAGAACCCTAAATGATAGCTCTGTTTGGTGTGGCTGTTGTGTTTCCTTTTGATTTTTCAACTCATTTGGTTGACTCTTGTTTCCCCATCTCTCTGCAGATGATGGGCTATGAGGCTCCAAACTCCACTTCTCACTCCATTGTCCCTTCAGGGAGAGGGATTGTCTCTTTGTGAAGGTGCAGGTGAAGAAGGGATCAGACAAGAGAGTGCTTGAGCCTGGGGTTACGGTGTCCCAAACCCTCATCCTCGTCTGTAACATGGACACAGTGTTTCCTGCACCTCATTGCTCTGGGTCACACGACCTTCTGCTGACCAAGTGCTTGGAGATTTGTGAGCAATCCACAGGACAAATTATTGGGACTAATGTAGAATTTCCTTGTAACTGGCATCTCATTTCCCATCAGTAAATTATTTCTGATCATAAAAATAATTCTGTAAAACTCCCTGGAGAGAGTAGCACATTTTTCATTATCTAGGACATTTTTCTTTTCAGTCTCAAATCCTGTGTTTGGCATGTCTGGACTGACCTCAAAGCATGATTTGCACTTGGAGAAAGAGACTCTAAGTTCAGTGTGAAAGGTTACTCAAGTGTTATGTGAAAGGTTACCCAAGTGTTATGTTTTTTGGGCAGTAAGAACAAAGCTTTACACACTTGGGCAGGGACACCGTGTTTGTGTGGGTTTGCGTGTGTGAAAGAACATGGGGGGAGGACAAAGGTTGATCACGATCTTTTAATATCAGAAGACTTTTCTATATTCTTGGTTGATTGTTTAAATTGTCCTTCTGAAAAAGAAATAGTAATTTTAACTTGATTTAATTCTAATAAGAACATACATGAGTGACGAATGAATTCTTCATTCCACAATTACTTTACTGCATGGCACTGTTAAATATTACTTGAGACCTAAAATGAGTCAAAATGATTCATCAATTGAAATAATCGTTATTTATGAGGTTTAAGCAATGATTTTCTTTAAACTTTGAGAGGTTGGCTAAAAATGCCTCCCCATCTGTTCTTTCCCAATGCCTTGAAACACAGTTAGTGTGGGGTTGTAGCTAATTATGGCCATGACACTCCAAAAATGAAGCAATTTTTTTAAGTGTCTCTCCCTTTCCCCCTGCAGAGATTGTGATGGTGGTGGGTGTCATTCTGCAAATGGCTCTGAAATGTGGCACTACTGCAGTGAGCACGAGGCCCTTCCCCAACCCTGAATGTCTCCTTTGTGCTTTTAGGGTGTTGGCCTGGCCACAGCGCACTGCAGGTTTGTGCTGGGGAATGGGGGGCACTCATATGGGGGATATTTCTTGGGCTGAAAACTATCCAAACCCCTGCCCACTGTCATGGCCATTTTGCCTCTTACTGTGTGCCCTGAAGGCAACTGAAGCTTTTCTATTCCCTTTGCCTGCTGCTGGGCCAAATCCTATTTACAGTTGTTGCCTCCATCAGTGACGAAACATGTTAACTGGCTCCTGTAGTGGGACTGGCCTTGCAGATTTGCTCAGACTAGATGGTTGCTCAGTGGAATGGTACCTGCAGCAGTCTCCCCTGTGAAAAGCCTCTCCACATTAGCCTGCTGAGGAGTTTTTAGCCTAAAGCCTGGGATTACTGAAGGTGCAGCTAGTAGTGTGTTTCTCAGGCAACTCTCTCCCTCCTCGAGACAGTGATTTGCTTTTCCTTTCATGTTTGCTTACTAAGCAGCACGGTGGATTATGCACAGACTCTTATCTCTGCTCATGTCTACGTGTGGGGGAGGCTTGGGGTACAAATCCCTTTGTAATCACTGCCAAATCCAAGTACATTTCTTGTTGCACCTTAAATGATTCATCTAAAGTGTGGATTTCATAAACACATACATTTGTGTGTGTACTGCTGGTTTTTAAGTGTGCAAAAGAGAATAAACTGTTGGGAATGGGGAGCTATAGGGCTAGATGGTCTCTGGAGGTCCCATCCAACCTGGCCATTCCATGGTTCACTGATATAGCAGGCACTGTACTACTGGCAGCACAGAAGCTGAGTAAACAAGCAGGGTGGCTCTGCACAGCCTCTGCAGTGCCCCTTGACTCCTCCAGCAAGTGCAGAGCAGAGTCCTCCTTTCTCCATGAAGCCCTGCAACTGTGCGGAGAGCATGACCTACTGCCCTCTGCCATCCTCACCTGGGGCTCACCTGCCACCTCCCTGCAGAGCACTGCCCCCAGCCAGCTGCAGTGGTGCTGAAATGCCAGAGATCTCTGGCTACACTTCCTTCCTGACCCAAAGTATCCTTCACTATCCCACTTCTTGCTTCCCACTCCCGCCCACACTGGGATCTGCCTGCTCCCTCCCACCTCCGCTCCCATCCCTTGGCCACTGCCCTCCCCAGGATGAGTTTTCTCAAGCAGAAGCCAAACAAACCTTAAAAGCTTTCTGGTCCCTGGCTGCATGTGGAAGGCGGAATGTGCAGATGGCTTTAAATGTATCAAAATAAATGGGTTTGTGTCCTCTCTGCCTCAAAGTGTGATTGTATCCCCAGCTCACTTTGCAGAGGTGCAATTGCTGGTGTGAGAGCTGACCTGAATACCTAAAGACTTTGCTGCTGCTGCACTGGGAAATGCAATCACAAAGCAGTTCTGCTTACTGTACATTTCAAATTGATCAGCATTATGCAAATCTCACCTTACTTTATGGTGTTATCTCTAGTTTGTGGCATTAGGAGCAAATAATATATACAAGGATTAGGACATTAACCCTCTGGCATTACCACTTCTGCAAGAGACTCTCTCTAAATTCACTGCAGGTGCTATTAGGGGTTGCACACTTGTCACCCAAAGGAGCATCCAAATATAGAGGACAGCATAGAGAAAGTTTCTCTGCCTTTTTTAGAGAAACTTTGCTTTACTTCCAGTGACCTCTGACTGAACTGCTATTTATGCACCTTCCCCACAACCATTTAAACCAGGCTTCAAAAAGTCTTTTCACATTAAGCACATCATTAAAATAACATAGAGAGGCCAGTGAAGCATTAGTCTCAACCTTATGTACTTTGCTGGACATGGGGCTTCATTAAAACCAATGAGACAGTGGCAACTTGTTTTCTATACATCCTTTCAGTTTCCCAAAAGCAAAACACATTCGCACTTTAGAGTTTTTCATCTGATGGTCGCACAGTACTTAATGGAAACACAGCCTCTGCAGGTTGAGCTAGGTGAATATTCTGTAAGGCAGAGGGGAGACTTACTAATGCAGGCTTGGACTGGGCAAACAGTATGGCAAAGAGGGTGAAATTTCCCCAAAAGTAAAACCAGAAACAAAGCCCAAAAAGACAGCCTTGTCTGTGTTTGGCTCACAAGTCATCTCTGTGGTTTGGTGGGTTGGGTTTTTTTTCCCCTTTTTATTAAGGAAAAAATATTAGCTAAATGACCTGAAAACACAACTTTTGTTTCAAACTGATCACAACATTGTGTTTGACCCCAGCTGATTTTGTCTGGGAGCTTTTCTTTGGTTGCTGTTTTATTTCTCAGAGCACCACACACAGGGCTGCTGTGCGGTGTTTGCACAGCACTGTCCCCGTGGTACCTCTGAGGAAGCAGATGCCAAGAAGAAATGA